GACATGTTTCTCCAAAAGAGTAACTCTTGGCAAAGTTCTAAACAAAATATAGAAACTTCCTTCTATTTTATAGTTGAATTTCTTGAAAATTTTTCTTAAACTAAAACAGTGTAAAACATATGTGTTTCTACATGAGATAATGTTAGGTTCTAGACTCTGGCAAATGGTAACAGAAATTTCACCTACATGAAATGTCCAGCAAAATATTTGAAAGGCATGGGAGACATGGGACAAATACTCATTTTCAGGACTTTCCAATGTTAAGTATTTCTAGACATTCCAGTAGTACCCTCCCACCCCAATCATTGAGACAACCTAAAAATGTTTCTACAGATTTCTGAAACATTCTCTCATGGGGTAATACTGCTCTCGATGGGTATCTCTGATCTAAACTTTCCAAACCATAGTTGGCATTTGTTTAAAACAAATAATCGTTTATTCCTTATATTTAAGATACTATGTGTAGTGAAATGTAAGAGAAATATGTAAGAACTGGTTTCTTTCTTAAAAGGTTTCTATCTTCAAAGACCCACCTAAGAAGATGGGTGACTTGCGTATATATGGTTAATGTCAAAAATATGTATGTATTTGTCCAAAAGAAAAAGATGACAGTGAGCCGAGAACACCCAGGAAGGTCTCCCAGAGGCAGCAGAGTAGGACTTGGGGTGTGAAGGACATGTACGTAATGAGGTGGCTCCAGGAAACCTGGCTTTGCAGGTGAGGGGAGGGAGCGAAGGAGCCCGACCAGGATGAGAGCATCACTCTGAGAAAGTAAGGTGCAATAACAATAGGAATTGAGAGGGGAACAAGACTGTCATGTCCAAGTGGAAATTAAATTGAATAATTCATGAGTTGAATGTCAAATATGATTGTTCTTTACAAAATATTTAAGATGGCTATTTACTGAGTTTAGAATTGTAAACAGCAAAACTGGAGAGCTTCAAATAGAAGACTCATGTTTCCTCAATTGGGAGCTCATTTTCAGTTTTGTCTCGTCTCTGGAATATTTAATTTATATACCCAGGTAAATTTAGAACTCATTGCTGTGATCCACAGATTCATAACATACACAGACATGGGATTTGGAATTGTCAAAATAACAGATAATGACCTCGTGTCTCTTTTCCCTTTGTCCCCAGGTATGATTTTGTAGAAGTTGAGGAGCCCAGTGATGGAACTATCCTAGGGCGCTGGTGTGGTTCTGGTGCTGTTCCAGGAAGACAGATTTCCAAAGGAAATCAAATCAGGATAAGATTTGTATCTGATGAATATTTCCCTTCTGAACCGGGGTTCTGCATCCACTACAATATTGTCATGCCAGTAAGTACCACTTTTAGATCCCCTTATTCAATTGCATCAGCTATTTTCTCCCCTTTTAAACATGAGAATCAGAAAAAAACAAAAACAAACCATTTCCCCAGCTTGAATATTTTTTCCCCATAAATGTCACTGTATTTATCACAAATAACTTGTGCTCTCATTGTAGATCATTAGCAAT